AGGAGAGGGATGTCCCTTTTACCACCTGCCACTAGAAAGGCAGTGGCCGTGCTGCTAGTGAAGGCCCAGGGGGGTTAGGCATGGCCCCTGCGTGTTTGCCCTGGTCACCCACAGACAAGCCCAGCTCACGCCGCAGGAACCCTTTGGGGCAGCGAGGGGCTGGATGCCACGGTGCCAGCTCTGAGCCCCATGGCAGGTGGTGACAGTGGGTCCACAGTCACAAGGTTTTTTCAGAGCCGTTTCTTTCCTGTGCATGGGCTTCAGTGATACCATTTCCAAGCTTTTCTGGGTCCTTTTCTATTTTTTAGATTTGTTTTGTTGTTTGGGTTTTTTTTTAAATGAATGCTAATGCACTGGTGGAATAATGTGACCTCAGGCACTAACATTTTAAGGAAAAAAACCCTGCGCTTTGCACAACAGCCAGCAAAATCCCAGCAGTTACAAACACTAATGCACTTACCTCAGGGACTTGGGGCTTGGTTCGGCGCGGCTCATCTGTTTGTTGTACAGGAATGGGTCCCCACAACCGTGCCACACTCTGAAAAGCAGCAATACGTTACCAGCCTAGCAGCAGCGAAGGTTGGCCAGGTTAATGAAAGCAGCCAGAAAGGCACGCGACACTGAACATCAACGATAAATGTGATTAAGTAGCAGGAGAGCATGTTTTACCTGTGCACGTCATCTTTCCTCAGCACTTCAAACGCGGCAGTAGGTACCGAGGCTTGTCGTTAGTATGCCAGAGGATATTCAGGGCGAGAGACATGAACCTGGTCTGCGGGAGGGACAAGTACATTTCCAGTCCCTGGTAACAAAACTAAAACCTCCTTCAAAGGGCTGATGATTGGTATCCAGGCAACACCGAAGACAGGGACTTCGAAATTAGAGCCTATTCTCCATATTTCTGTAGCGTGTCCGGCTGATCAGGTGCTCACAGGGAGTACCAGGGCTGCCGGTGGCAGTGCCGCCGGTCGGGCTGAGCTTTGCCCCCCGAGGAGAGCTTGACCCCATGGGTCCAGGGGAGGATGAGGAGGCAGCATCGCCAGAGCTCACACATGGCCTGCAGGGCGAATGGGCTGAGAATTTCTAAATACATTTGTTCTGTGTTAAATTAATTCATGAAATGAAATTTGACAATTATCCCCAAATTACCTTAATAACAAAGTAACTCAGATGCTTCTACATCCTTTAGGGTTAAATTCTCCGCGATCTTGGCGTAATGTGTCTTGCAGGCTAATGACTCCCTGGTGTATAGCACATTGCCAAACATACGCTGGAGCTCTGTAAATTATGTTGTACCCAGAGCGAAGGGTCTAAACCCTAGCTAGACAGAGAGTTCCCATTTACGTCAGCGGGAATCGGCTCCTTGGCATGCTGTTTCTCAATATCTTCTGGGAACAGGCAATTCCTGGGAGAGGCCGAATGAGCCTGGGCAGCCCAAGCGGTATTTCGCTGGTCTTTTCTGGCAGGGTGCTGGGAAGGGAAGGGCTGGTGCTGTGCCCACAGCCCGAGGGACACCTGCCTGGGAGGTGGTGTCAGCACTCCCAGCAGTACAGGTGAATTTTAGCTTCGGAAGATAAAAGTAGACCAGCTGGACTTAATAAAATAGATGATGTGCTGGCATTTTCTGCCTATGCCAGCTCCGATGTGCCCACTTCCAAAATAACCCTGCACTGACCCACGCAGCTATTTACCTGCCTGCTACAGCACCGCAGGAATCATAGAATCATTATGGTTGGAAGAGACCTCAAAGATCATCAAGTCCAACCATATACCTGATGCCACCATGCCCACTAAACCCACTAAACCATGTCTCGAAGCGCCACATCTAAACGTTTTTTGAACACCTCCAGGGATGGTGACTCCACCACCTCCCTGGGGAGCCCGTTCCAATGCCTAACGACTCTAACGGTGAAGAAGTTCTCTCTAATGTCCAGCCTGAACCTCCCCGGCACAACTTGAGACCGTTTCCTCTTGTCCTAAAGGAGCAGGACTTCTCACTCTTCCCCCTTTTTCGCTGTAGTAGCCAGTAGCAGACTTTTATAATCTCCATTTTACGAATCTAAACCCAGCTCTGGTTTGAGTTGTTCCCTCCCAGCCGCGGTGCCGACAGGGAGTGCTTTGTCGTGGACTCTCGGGGCACCGGCAGCCTCGCGCTCACC